GTGACCACAGTGACCACAGGGACCACTGAGAACATTGACCACAGTGACCAGAGTGACCACCACAGTGACCACAGTGACCACAGTGACCACTGGGACCACCACAGTGACCACCACAGTGACCACAGTGACATTGACGCACTGCAGGACCTCGGGGTACGTCACTGCGGACACAGAGTGACCACTGAGTGACCACCAGAGTGACCACCAGAGTGACCACTGGGACCACCACAGTGACCACAGTGACCACTGAGAACATTGGGACCACCACAGTGACCACCACAGTGACCAGAGTGACCACCAGAGTGACCACAGTGACCACTGGGACCACTGGAACCACCACAGTGACCACTGAGAACATTGGGACCACCACAGTGACCACCACAGTGACCACTGAGAACATTGGGACCACCACAGTGACCACTGAATGACCACTGGAGTGACCAGCAGGACACCCAGGTAACCACCAGAGGTCCAAAGTGACCATGAGAGGTGGCCCAGGTGACCACCAGAAGACCCAACTGACCACAAGATGACCCAACTGACCACCAGAAGACCCAACTGACCAGGAGATGACCCAACTGATCATGACATGACCACGAGATGACCTCGAGATGACCCAACTGACCACCAGAAGACCCAACTGACCACAAAATGACCCCCAGGAGACCCAACTGACCATGAAACCACCACCAGATGACCACCAGAAGACCCAACTGACCACCAGAAGACCCAACTGACCATGAAACCACCACCAGATGACCACCAGAAGACCCAGCTGACCACCAGAAGACCCAACTGACCCCCAGAAGACCCAACTGACCCCCAAAAGACCCAAGTGACCATGAAACCACCACCAGAAGACCCAACTGACCATGAAACCACCACCAGATGACCCCCAGAAGACCCAACTGACCACCAGAAGACCCAACTGACCATGAAACCACCACCAGATGACCACCAGAAGACCCAGCTGACCACCAGAAGACCCAACTGACCACGAAACAACCACCAGAAGACCCAGCTGACCACCAGAAGACCCAACTGACCATGAAACCACCACCAGATGACCCGACCGCCCCACCACCCCCTCCGCTACCTTCAGGGGAGGTGGTGGCCCCCCATCCCGACGTCAGGCAGGAGGTGCCGGCCCGGGGCAGGCAGGAGGCCACCGGGATGGGCCGGACGCGGTCCGAGATGGTGGCCGGGGTCAGGAGCTTGAGGAGCATGATGTCGTTGTCCTTGGTGGTGGGGTCGTAGCCCGGGTGGGCCACCATGCGGGCCACCATGCGCCGCTCGTCGCCGGCCTCGCGCCCGTACAGGAGGTGCTTGCCCAGGGCCACCGTGGTGACGCTGAGGAGGGGAGGGGACAGGTGAGGGACACCTGGGGGAGCTGAGGGACACCTGAGGAACATCTGAGGAACATCTGAGGAACATCTGAGGGACCTGAGGAACATCTGAGGAACATCTGAGGAACATCTGAGGGACCTGAGGGACACCTGAGGGACCTGAGGGACACCTGAGGGACCTGAGGGACCTGAGGAACATCTGAGGAACATCTGAGGGACCTGAGGGACAACTGAGGGACACCTGAGGGACCTGAAGGA